GCTTCTGTTCACATAAACAAAGATGATTTATCATTTTCATCTGGTTGTAGGCCAAACATCCTGTTTGCAGAGCCACTTGCATCGTTTTGACTTACCACTTTGCTACCAAGATTCGGCCATGCCCGGTTGCTCAATACTAACATGAATGATTTACCGCAATTGTTGACTTGCATTCCATAGAAATGCTGGGTCATTTGTTATTGTCCTTCAATGTTTAGAATTTCAGTTTACCCCTCAATTTTATAACACTTTACTACTATAGTCCAGCAATCAACTGCTTAAACATCATCACCATCATCTTCCTTAAGTTGTTTTTTGAAAGAATAATTTTAAAATGTATACATAAATAATCTATTAACTTTCATAAACTTAATCCATTATCTTGCTAAACCTTTACAACTCTTGTAAGAGGGAAACCAGGTATTTTATCTCATTTTTTTTTTAATGAGAAAATTGATGTTCAAAGCGGTTACATGACAAATACAACACTTTGCTGCACCCTCTGGAGATGTCTTACACAGTATTTGCTTATATTGGGCACATTTTAGTTCATCATTGATCTTCTGATAATAAAATATAAACATTGTAATCTATAAAACATTTTTATGAGTCCAAAGTGTTATATTCAACTGTATGTAGTGATGCACAAATACAGCATGGTAATATAGTACCCTTTAACATTATGCTTCCAGTCTCCAAACAGGCAAATATTCTTGGGATTTTAAGAATTTCTGAATGCTATTGCCTTTTATGAGGTGCATGCATAGCTAGTGTCAAGGTGTTGTGGGTGGCAAAAACAGCACCAGGTGTTAGACACATGGGATCAGACCGGGACCCCATGGTCCCAGGACCTGGGTTCAGCAACCTTGGTACTGGAGTTCTGGCTAGGAAAAGAATTCAAAGCCAAGATTCAAACTATAAGAGAACATTCATTTGGAAAATCACAGAGGAAGAAGAAGTAATTCCTAGAAGAAATAGGCTTAGGAAGTAAGTTATAGAGGAAGGAGCTTAGCGGTAAGGAAGGTAAAGGTGATATGTCTGTGGAGGCAGGTTAGGAGGGGAAAGAAAAGGCGTGGGTGTACTCCTGGAGGGAGAGTGCGCTGGGTCCTCCCTCTGTCCTAAGGGTATTTTGTTTTTTGGTGGTAGTGGTGGTGGTTTTTTTGTTAATCCCTCACCTGAGGATATTTTTCCACTGATGCTTAGAGAGAGTGGAAGGGAGGGAGAGAGAGAAGAAGAAGGAGAAGAAGAGAGAGAGAGAGAGAGAGAGAGAGAGAGAGAGAGAGAGAGAGATGAGAGAAAGAGAGAGAGAAACACATCCATTGTTTGCCTCCCCGCATGCACCCTGGCCAGATTGAGCCTGCAATCAAGATGTGTGTCCTTGACAGGAATCTAACTCAGGACCCTTCAGTCCCCTGGCCGATGCTCTAGCCACTGAGCCAAATCGGCTAGGGCTGTCTTAAGGGTTTTAAAGGTAGAGATTTTAAGGGAGGTCCTAGGGGAAGATCTCAATAGAATATTCAGCAGCTTCCCAGGTGTGTCCTTTCAGGGTTGTGATTTATTGGTCAGCGCCTGGGCAGGGGCTCATTATTCAATTAGTCTGGTTCTGAGGTCAGCTGGGAGGGAGGGTGTAGGGAGGGGAGGGGGGTCTGGTTTTGCTGCTTATCTGGGCCTGGAGCTGAAATACAACTGAGGCCTAGATGTTATCTCTATTGTAGAAATGATCAGGGGGTCCAAACCAAATGACCAGTGATATACTAAGGGAGGAAAGGTCACCCTGGGGATGAGGTCCCACCTACAATTGTCCTTTGCTAGGCACCCAGGAATTTCCTCCCTGGTAACCTTCTGGACCTGGCCCATCATCCTTGCACTGTTCATGTCAGTCTAACTGCCTACCACAAATATAAGAAACATCCAAATCTATAAGTATTTTTTATGAGTTTATTTGAGACAAACTGACAATTGCCAGGAAGCAGAATCCCAATGGATTGAGAAAATGCCCCAGGAAAGGGCAGTATTACCACTTATTTTATACATCAGAATCAAAGGGGAAGACGGAAGGGGGTTTACATGAAGTGCATTAGTGATAGATAAGGGAGGGGAGAGAAAGCAAAGCTGGGAAATCTCTGGGAAAGGATAAAAAGGAAGAGGGTAGACACATGCTTCTTTTACTTAGGTGGGTATAGAGTAGTTAAGGGGAAAATACCGGCCGAGCACGTGACAACCCACCAAGAACTGCTTTGGTCAGGCACTATGTAGGCCTCCCCTGAGCTTGTCGGGCTCAGTATATGGCCCCTTTTGCATCCACACTAAGTAGTTAACAGTTAACAACTGACATGATAATAATAACAATGAGCGGATTTGTGGTCTCTGCTCTGGTGCAGTGGTTGTGCTTTGAGGGGTAGTGGGGGGAGGAAATTATTTTGTTATTCCAAAGGTACATTATCAGTATGTTATTGTAGATGCAAAAAAAAAAAAAAAAAAAAAAGGGCAACAGGCAGGCTCAGTTGAGGTAAAGATTGACCTTTGTGAGGGGAAAATACCGGCCGAGCACGCGACAACCCACCAAGAACTGCTTTGGTCAGGCGCTATGTAGGCCTCCCCTGAGCTTGTCAGGCTCAGTATATGGCCCCTTTTGCATCCACACTAGGCAGGCAGGGAATTTTACAAACTGACTTGTAAGATCAAGACAAATCATACATTCATTTCAAAACTCAGTAAGCCCAGGGTTGTGTGCCAACTACCTGAATCTGAAGGGGCCACTGTCACAAACTGCTGATAGCTCATAAACGCTGCATATGCCCTAGCTTTGGTGTTTTGGCTCTACAAGTGTTTCAAAGGTGTCTCTTCGTGATTCTTTTGGTTTACTTTATAGTAAGCATAGTAACTTCAGTTCATCACGGAGAAGGAAGCACTTTAAGCAAGAAGAAATGTAGGTGCATCTGGGAAAAGACAGCACTGATGGCTCTTGTGCCTTCTGAGTGTGTTGGG